TTTTTCTTTACCTCCCTGCCTACTCTGCTGTGTTGGGTACCTTGATCTCGCTTTGCTGTTGTTACCTTTGTTTTTTGTACGTCCGGCTGTCTGCCCATCTGCCGCTTCTTAACCCTGTTTGCTCCGTTACTCCCATGCCCTGGTGCGCAGTGCCTGGTGCTGGTACGTTACGTTACCCTTTCATTTTTTCTTTCGGCGGGTGTGGNCTCTTTTCTCGAACGGTCGGTGCGATACCTGTTCTTTTCTCTTTTCTTTCTATCATTTTGCTTTCTTTTTCCGAGTGGTTTGTACCCTATTTTTGTTTTTTTGTTTTCTCGCGGCGTCGTATGTGCCGGGTGTTGAGACCACGGGCTCCCCACTTTTTGTGGACTACAGAGCTAATGTGAGAAACAACAACAACAACAACAACAACAACAACAACAACAACAACAACAACAACAACACATACCCGGCAAAAAAAAAAGAGACGCGGCGAAACAAGAAAAACGCGGCGAAATACCTAGGCGACGGTTTCCTTTTTTTTCCAATTCCCCCGCACCCAAGGGTTGTGTCCCGTTTGTACCTCGTACACACGCAACACGTTAGCTACGATGTCGGAGGAAGCGAGCGCGGGCTCTGCCTCCGCGTCACAGGCCTCACAGGCCTCAAAGGCCTCACAGGCCAGTGCTGGTGGTTCTTCCTCGGTAGACCAGGGACCTGCCGCTACCGACCCGAAGGCTTCAGGAGAGGCTATCGACGAGATGCTGGCCGCAAATGACCCCGACAGCAAGAAACGCAAGTACCCAGAGCCCGGCCTCCCAACTGAAAGGTCAGGAGCAGTGAAAGAAAGGTAGCTACCCGGTCGGGTTCAAACTCAAAGCGGTCGCATTCACACGCGTCGTCTGCGAGGACGGAAAACCGGTGGGAAACAGCGGTGCAGCGAAAGTTCTCGACGTGCCCCGCAGGCGTATCGTCGAGTGGGTGCGCGACGAGGAATCGCTCAGAGCCAACGTCAGCGCCAACCCCAAGCTGTCTAAGGCCAAGCAAATTCACGCTGGAGGCAAAGCTTCGACAGCCGACATCGAAGAAGCCCTGGTGGAATTCATCAACGATCAGCGCAAGCATCACGTCGGCTGTGGTAGCATGGCGGTCATGAACAAGCTGCTTGAGTTGAAGCCGGATGCCCTTGGCGGGCTGACAGCCAAGCCGAAGCCGGAGGAGGCGTTGGCTTTCAAGTCCAAATTCAAGAGCTGGTACCAACGTTTCCGCAAACGGAACAAGTTCAGCATCCGCCGGCGTACAAGCGTGGGCCAAAAGCTACCGAAGGGACACGAGAGCATGGCGTGGGCGACGTTGATGAAGCTGCGTAAGGCTCTCCTGGTGCGTGCTGGCGAGATCTACGCTCAGCGCTAACCGCCTGCACCTGGCGAGAGCCCTATCAGAGGGGAGGACCTGAGTTCATCTCTCCTGGAGTTGGTGACCGACGAATTGTTCGAAGAACTGGGCAACATGGACCAGACGCCAGTCCAGCACGAGATGCCGGTGGAGACGACTCTGGAAAAGACCGGTNCCCCATCAGAGGGGAGGACCTGAGTTCATCGCAGCTGGAGTTGGTGACCGACGAATTGTTCGAAGAACTGGGCAACATGGACCAGACGCCAGTCCAGCACGAGATGCCGGTGGAGACGACTCTGGAAAAGACCGGTGCGAAGGATGACCGCATCGCCACCGGAGGTGAGAGTATGAGTGCTATGTTCAGTGTTTTCTTTACTGTTGCCATGAAGTGTCGTGCGTATTTGCGGTCGGCCGGATATTTGTTCTGGTCGTGATATTATTCACATGTCCTTGGAAACGTACCTCTACCGTTTGCATCCATTTCAGCCGGCGTCTGTTGCATTCGCACAAGGGACCATGCACAGCACGGGCAACGAGTTTTTCACACTTGGCACAACTTCAGCCCTAATGCCGCCGACGCGCGCAAGGCCTCAACAGAGTGCCCACTTCTGTCCGACATCGCAGTGGGTACACCCACCGGCGTCAACTAATGTTTTCATGTACCCACTTGTGTCTATATTTTGACCCACATTTGTCCAAATTGTACCCACTTGTGTCCACATACGGATGGCGGAAATCGAGCGGAAATTGACCTCCACGTCACCGCACGGCAGAACATCGAATAGCCTCGGAACGTCTCAGAACCGCCCAACCCCGTATCCATGGCATCTTTCGTATCCATGACTGCAGACTGCGGACCGACCGCGGAGGAACATGTCAGACACATGCCAGGCCCCTCCGGTACCGGCACGGGAGGATATTTGGTACCCTCGAGCAGGCAATGTGCGACCTATTTCTTCCTTAAGCCGCCATCCATAAAGTAGCAGCGAACGAACGTAGCGTAGCGAACGGCATCCGTTTTGGTCTCTTGTTCGGTTAGGTTTCTAGGGGATACCGAGCCGGATTTTCATTTCGTATACACCATATGACTGTTGTGCACATGAAAACCCTACATGATGTTGGTANCCGCCATCCATAAAGTAGCAGCGAACGAACGTAGCGTAGCGAACGGCATCCGTTTCGGTCTCTTGTTCGGTTAGGTTTCTAGGGGATACCAAGCCAGATTTTCACTTCGTTGACACCATATGACTGTTGTGCACATGAAAAGCCTTCATGATGTTGGTACGTGGCAAACTGCCTCGACATCCTACTGCTGCTGTGACGAGTCGGTGTCCACTCGTCATGGTGGTGGTTGGTGCTTTCCTGTGTGTGAGTGTTGTTTGCTCTATGCGCGTCTTATTGTTCTGTGTGCGCGACCCGTTAGTTCGACCCGTTGGTGTTGTTGTAGGTTGTGTGTCACGAATTTGTTTGTGGCGTGTGCTCGTAGTGCGCTGCTTGCCGGGCTTACTGCCGGCATCTTCCCGTGCCTGATATCCTCCCGTGCCGGTACCGAAGGAGCGTGGCATGTGTCTGACATGTTCCTCCGCGGTCAGTCCGCAGTCGGCAGTCATGGATACGAAAGATGCCATGTATACGGGGTTGGGAGGTTCTGAGACGTTCCGAGGCTATTCGATGTTCTGCTGTGCGGTGACGTGGAGGTCAATTTCCGCTCGATTTCCGCCATCCGTATGTGGACACAAGTGGGTACAATTTGGACAATTGTGGGTCAAAATATAGACAAAAGTGGGTACATGAAAACATTAGTTGACGCCGGTGGGTGTACCCACTGCGATGTCGGACAGAAGTGGGCACTCTGTTGAGGCCTTGCGCGCGTCGGCGGCATTAGGGCCGAAGGTGTGCCTGAAAGTGGGAAAAACTCGATGCCCGTGCTGTGCATGGTCCCTGGCTGTGTCGCCCAGGTGTCAGAATGGGGTTTTGAGTCGTTTGGGGGCCGTCTATGGAGTGCGCGCGCGCTGGATTTTCGAGTACCCACTGTTGTCCGAGAATGGCATGGGTATACCCACTTGTGTCCGTTTCCCTTTTGAATACATGTGGTGAGATATCAAACCGTGACGCAAGATATCATACCCCCTAGTGACCGATTATTCAAGCTAGAATCTTCCCAGCGCGAAGGGTGGGGTCGACGAAAAGGCGGCGATGAAGCCGTCTCGCCTAGGTTCCCAACCCCAAGCCCATTTCGTTTAATGCTTTGTGTCCGTAGTGGGGGAACAAATAACAGAAGTCCTCGACCGGTCCGGGTGTGTGGTATATTGTATCATTACAGCAGTAGTAGTATATAGGTCTATATCGAAGTGTTGGAAGCGAAGCGCAGTTATGCGTAATCTGCTGTAGCGATCCCCCGCAGTCCCTGATGTGGTGTTCCTTGTGTGCCTTGCATTTGAGAACGTAGAGATTACTATTAGAGAGGAGTATTCAGTGTACACGTATGGTTGTTACGCATACGGACGGTCAGTGTGCTCTGTACAGAGTGAGGTCGCCGTCATCGCCTCGAACCCACGCAATGTGACCACGGACCCCTCCTTTTCCGGCCACGTTCTTCCAATATTCCCAGGAGATTCAATGGCCGACGGCGGAGGAGCGCCGGGCTCAGGGAGAGTTTCTGGCCAGGGTGGCTCACCCCGATCTCGGCAACATTGCCTTCATCATCGACGGTACCAAGTCGCTCATGCGAATCCCGGCAAAGGTGCGTAACAGCTCTTAAAAGAAATGACGCTAAGCGTAGCCTTGTCGGTAGATTACGGTGACTTTTTTCCACACGACGTTATCACGTCGAAATGAACCAATAGATGAACGGTTTAGATCATGTAAAGTCGTGTCTCCGATCATCCCGAGGGTTTACGTCCATGTAGTGTCGTTGATACCGCTGAACAAGTTCGTTAGTGTTTTGGTATTTGAAAAACAGGCCGCGGGATGCACAGGTTCCAATAACTATGACTCAACCCCCGCTTGCTTCTTGTGTGGATATTCCTTCCCCGTACGTCGTCGGATAGCCTCGGGACGGCATCACGCCGGACCCAACGGGGGAGGTGAACGATATGCACTACTCCAACAACAAGGGGCTAGGGTAAACCCACCAGATCTACTGCAACATTCGCGGCAAACCATTGAGGTTGAGCAGTCGACGGCATATATCAACAGTTCAAACCCTACACCATGGGCACTAGCCGTAAGATATATATCTTCGAATTAGCTACCGAACTGGTGCCGGGTCTGCTGAGGCCCTACAGACATCGCCGTTATGTACGAAGTGGCAGTTGGGATCGGAGTGATTCGGACGGGACTGAGTATTCAATCAAGTGCTTCGCGATTCCCGCCTGTCGTGTAGTATTAAAACCGACGCTGGGAGACCACACGATAGAATGCGGCAAAATAGGTTACGTCACCGGTGCTATGTCCATATCCACCATGGCCGGATTGTTAAAGCCCGTTCAGACGCCCATCATCTTGCTTGGGCAGGCAACGCTGCACCTAATTTAGACACGTCGTGAGGGCATGGTGATAACCCTAACCCTTCCCACCCTCTACCCCTCTCCCCGTGGTCGCCCAACCGCCCACTCAGTCAGGTGGAAACGAGAAGGGGCGCCGAGTCGGACAGAGGGGCCTACAACAACTCGCGTGTGTATGTTGAGCCAACGGAGTTCCTTTCTCCGGATGAGGTGGGCCTGGGAGACCGGGGCTACATGGGGGAGGCGAGGGCAGACACCGGGGAGGCAATGTGTGTGGCACTCCGTGGGGGGCATCTGACGGAAGCCGAGAGAGGGTTAAACGTTAGACAGCGCAGGATCCGGGTGGTCGTGGAGAACACTATCGGTCAAGTCAAGAAGTGGCGGGTCATTGGCACTGGCAAGTTCCGCCACCACCGAGACTTGGAGCCAGCGGGTTTCGAGTTGTGTGCAATGCTCACAGCGCGCCTCATGAGGGTAAGGGACAAGTACCCACGCAGTAAGGAATGGCTGTGGAAGGAGTACGAGGAGTGTGAGGCGAAGCTGGGTATTTTCCTGTACCTGGACACCGAGGACCCTCAGTCGTACCTGGTACACAACCTCGGGGCCGATCTGCTGTACAACAGCGCGACGCCAGACGGTGTTGCCAACGTGCTGCAACACCGTTGGAACGTAATCTGGGGATTAGTAAATGAAGATGAAGAGCCCGAGCCAGAATGGTTGTAAGATTGATTCCGCATTCTTGATTGGAGAGGGAAATGAATTGGACTGCGTCGGACTGAGGATGACGGGGGGGGTCTGAATTTATTAGTACCACCTTGCCAACCAGCTTGGGTCGATACTGCCTTTGGCAGATAGTCAAGGGGACTGCCAACTTCTCACGTGATTGTTGTTCCGATAGCGGGAGTACGCAGAGGGTGGGGAACAAGAAATAAGAGTGACATCCGAAATTATCTTCGTTTTTCGGCTCGCACTAACGATCCCTGGACGCGAGAGCCCCCCGTCTACGCAGAAGCCTGAGCACACAGCGACAAATATTTTCGGTGGATGATCATGAGCTGAGTGTTAGACTCAAAAAACAAGCAATGGACGAAAATAATTAGGTAGGCCTGACGACGAGCCGGTTGAAGGGGCCCCCCATACGCAGTCGCCCCTGGTCCCGCGCGACACCAAAGAACGCGGAGTCAGATACATGTAGATACATGTACCACGACGACATCACATTCGAACGTCATGGACAAGCTCCGCACACAAAGACACTCCTCGCCTCGAGAAGTTAATGTCCCAAGTTCCAAGACGACAAACAATAATATACGGTTGTTTGCATTCACAAGACGCACGAACCGACGCCAGTATTGCTCCGCCAGTGCCCCAATTGACATAGTCCTACAATCAGAGGCATGAGGCACGAGCGGTTGGTCTGCAGCCCCAAAGAACAAGACTGCCGTACGAGAAAGTGTCGAAGCCAAACTACCTTTCGTGCTATGCATACGACACGGAAAACTGCTTCCTTGCGGCGTACCCCGACTACAAGAGAGCGTGCTCCACACCTTTGCGTGAGCATCGCTCGAGATTAACAGTGAAAAATATACCATCGCCCATTTTACCGGACAACCGATACTAAAACCACGGGGTGTGAGGCATAGACCCAAGAGACTATGCATACCAATGCGACAAATGCGACAAACTAAAGCATCAAGACCTTCGGACAAGAAATCGACACGAATCGAACTTGCAGCGTACCCAGACTACAACGGCAGCATGCTCCACCCCGTCTAGTCTGATCACCTACAAGAAACGAACAATCAATGCACACAGTGAAAAACACAACCATTCCGACAACATCAACTCACGCGAGTTGGGCGAAACTACCCTGCTGACTACCCCAACTACGAGACAGCATGATCCAGCCCGTAGTACGAGCACCACCAAAAAACAAACTAAGTGAATACACGAAGCTACTCTTACTAACCGGACAACCAATGCTAAAACCACGTTGCAGCCTGCCCCAACAACAAGGGTAGCATTGTATTCCCCGTGATACGAGGGCATAGAACAATAAACAACCAAAGTGACAAACTAAAGCATAAAAACCTTGCAGCGTACCCAGAATATCATAAGGGCAGCATGCCCCACCCGTGGTGTGAGCATCAACAACCGCAACAAAATGAAAAACGAACCATTCGACAGAAATAAAACAGGAGAGAAATGTCCCACCCCACACCAAGTTCGAGAAGACAGGATGCTCCACCCCGTTGTATGAGGCACGACTAAAAAACTTTCGTTACAATAAAGAACACCAACCCTTCCAAAATAAGCCTAAACACACTGACGTTGAAGCCTGCGCCGACATGTCCGCTTAAATTGCCTCTCCACTGAACCTCTTCGCCACACTCCACGTTTGGGCTGTATGAGGCCGAGCAAGCAACGACCAACGTGTAAAAAAAATCTGCACTTCCGTGAAAAAGAAAAGACACGAAACAACCTTTCCTGTCTACCCCAACTACAACTATGCCAGAGCCTAACGCACTCCGTCGTGCAAGTTAAAACCGAGAGGTGAACCACAGTCGTCATCTGGCAGAAAAAAGTCAACAACAATGAGTGCCAACTAAAACATCTGTGGTCAACCAACCCTGCAACAAGTCGTCCCGTTCCAACTAAGGCTCGAGGTTCAGACTATGAACGTCCACGTGCACACGATCCAACTACGGCGGCACCCCTAAGCCCAAGGAATTACAGGAACAAAAAAATGAACGCATGAGGAGGGGTTATTTCAGGACACCCTCTTGAGGTACACGTGTTTGTGGATCGTCTTCATCACAAATTTAGCCGTGTTGGACGAGAAATCTCCTGTGCCTGTTTCAAACAGGTCACGGTTGAACTTCTTGTCCCTGGCGTCGAACACGAGGCTGCGGATGTCGTCGTCGTACAGTGACGAAATGGCTTCCCTCTCCGCCTCGGCTTGGACCACGGGGCGCACGTCTCCCCAGAAGTCGTCGAAGGTCGTCCACGGGATGGGCTCGCCGTCCTCCAAGGGTGGATATTCCGAGGCGGAGTTCTGGATAGCTTTCGCGACTTTCGCCCCTTTCACGGCGGAACGAAGGGAAGGGCAAATTTGCGGCCGGGACCCATTAACCTTTTCCACCTCCAAGCGATACACGTGGGTTGTGAAGAATTATTACAGCGTTGGGTGGGCTTTTCGTTTCACCCTCCAACTACAACAAATAGTCGTGCATGCAGTATCGTGAGTGGGGTACAGAACGAAAACGCGCTACAACGTGACATATGTTTACAAGTAGGGGGCTTCGGTCGTACTGCATTCACAGGTTGACAGACACGAGACCCAAGCAAATCTAGGGAGCGTTCAAGGCAGAGGTCTCGATATGCAATAATCATATCAACCCCCCAAGGAACCGACTCGAGAATGTTTGAAGGATCACCTGCTCGAGCGACTTGCGCCTGAAATCTTTCAGTGCCACGTCGTTCCGCTCCCTGACTTAGTCCATCTTCTCCTGACGCTCGTCCATCTTCTCCTGACGCTGCACAATACGCCTTGTCTCCGCGGCCTGCAACTCGGCTTGCTCCTTCGCCCTCGCTGCAGAGCTGTCCATGAAGGCGGAGAAATCAGGTTTCGCCTTGCTGTGGTTGTCGAGGGCGTCCTTCAGCTTGTCAGCTATCTCGTTCACGTCACCCACAGCGTTCTGACGGATTTTGCGGACCGCCATCTGGGATGAGAGCAGAGGGCAATGAAAATGAGTGTGGAAAGAAGGGAGAAGGTTGAACTAAGGCTTCCGGTTGGGTGGGACTGCTCTCTGCGTCTGTACTGTAGTGCGAATACTATTCGATGGGAAACGCCGTGCTTGCGATTAGTCCTGTAACAAGAACCCTTCCTCTAGCCCCGCCACCCTGAAACGATGCTATTTTATTTCATGTATTACGACAGCTGCCCCGCTTCCCTCCCGCACCACCTCGTGTTTAACAGCGTTGCATGCCAATAACGACCACGAGTGTAAGACTAGAACATCACGTGGCGAAAAAAAACAGGAATTACTCCAAGGGCAGTGCAGGGCCGTACTTGTGACCATTGAACGCTGCGAGCCAAACGGCATTCCGCCGGGGAAGAGACAAGGCGCACTATTTGGAATCTCGCACTGCGTTGCGCATCCTACCTTTACAGCCTTCTCCTTCTTCCCGACGTCGATGGCATCCTGTTTGGCGGCATCGGAGTCGTCAACGGTGGAGGCGTCGAGGGCTCGGAATCCCTCCATCGTCGTCCTCACTGCACGCCAGAAGTTGTTCGTGTCGTTGTTATTGTCCCTGAGCACGGAAAGTAGGATAGTGAGGTTTGTTCGCGGGGTTAGGTCCTTTCTCTGGACAGGAAACCTAGTTTTGCTGCTAACTCGGAGTCTAATGCTCGTGACTATTGGCAACTAGTTTACGGAAAGCGGGAACGAGTTACAACAAGCGGCCACCGTCCATCCTACTTGGGTGCGATGCGGTCGGCATCACGGCTTCACCAAGCCTACCACACCCCTGGACCGATTGTCAAACATCCAATACTAGGAAGGGTGATGCAGAAACACGGCCATGTTGGATTGTCCCTCCATCGAGGTACTTGTTTTTTTTCAGCTCCGACGTCGCGGATGAGTCGAGCTCTGAACATCAGTTCTAGGGGTGTAGCTATGCTTAGCCACGAACGGCACCTGAATAACTGCTGTTCGTGTACAAGTTTGGTGCAGGCATGGTCAACAATTCAATTTAAGCAGCATAACTGGTATGTCGGCGGTGATGTTACGATTTCCACCGAACGGTATCATACAGTCAAACGTCCCACGTAGTAACAATGGGTGTGTGAGTATATTATGTGCAGGGCGCACGAAGACAAAATACTTCTGCATGTTTACAATATGGCGGTCACGAAATAAAACCGCCGTGTCTCGCACGCAGCACGCCGCGACAGAATGTATTTGTATTTCATTACTAGCAACGACCGCGCTGTACAGATGTGTGTGTGTTTTATTGGTGTTGGGTAGTGTTAGAAGTATTATTTTCAGGTCGGGGGCAGGGTCGGGGGCAACGTAGACTAGACTGCTGTGTTTAGTGATGACACACAAAAAAACACGAGAGCTCAGCCGTTAGCCTAATCTATAATTTTTAAAATTGGTGACACAAAGCCAGATATTTTAACTATTTTTGCGAGGAAAACAGCAGTGGCTGTTTGCGGCCTACGCCACTTATTTATCGGGTGAGACTGTTTTGGTGATGTATAAACTTCACGAGAGGTCGACGACCGTCCTTCACACGGACGAAAGAGGGAGTGCTCAAAGAGCGGCTCCCACAGCAAGGAGGGGCCCCGTGAATCATCGCGGTGCCCCGTATCAAACGGTTATCTTACCAGTCTGCGTGACACAAANNATGGTCTCCCAACGCCCCGTACTCCTGCCATTGGTACACAGACCGCAACAGTTATGCGCCTTTCCCTGTNCATGTTGAGGGGAAACCCGGCGTCCGGGCAAAACCCCTCAAGGAAAAACCTTACCACCACAAAAAAAAACCGTCGCTACCACAGCGGATCACAACGGCCGCACTTATTAGAAAGGCCAAGGCGAAGACAAGAACGCGAGGAACTACGTTCCCCCGGACGATGGTCTCCCAACGCCCCCTACTCCTGCCATTGGTACACAGACCGCAACAGTTATGCGCCTTTCCCCGCATGGAAAACATGGCCTCTCCCAAGTGCTAGAAACTGCTACAGCTACTCCGGCAAATTCATCAGCTTGCGCCGGTGATACTGCAGACTGGCCCTGCTAAGGGCCTTGGTGAGGAGGTCCGCGTGTTGCTCCGTTGTCGGGACAAACTTGACCGAAATTTCCCCCGACCTAAACAATCCGCGGATGAAATGAAACCGCACGTCGATGTGTTTCGTGCGACCTGAGCTGAGAGGGTTCTGCACCAACGCCATGGCCCCCTGGTTGTCCTCAAGGACCTGGATGCTGCTACCTCTGGTCTCTGGGGCAACAACGAAAGCACAGCACGCACAAACAACGCCTCTTTGACACCATCCTCGGCAGCAATGTACTCGGCCTCCGTCGAAGACAAAGACACGATGCTCTGCGTCTTGCTACCATGGCTGAGTACGGTACCTCCGACCGTCGTCGCCAACCCTGACACCGAACGCCTATCCTCCGTGTCGGCGTAGCTAGCGTCTACGTACACGGCAAGCCCTAACCCCGATCCCCGTTGGTAGGTGATGCCGAGGTCCCTCGTCCCTTTCAGGTAGCCGAGGATCTTCTGTATGGCATCCCAGTTCCTCTTCGCCGGGGCGTGGGCGTGGCGCGCTACCGCACGCACGGCGAACGAGACGTCTGGACGCGAGAAAGTCGACACCCACATCATGCTGCCGATGGCCTCCCTCACCGGCCACTCCCCTCCTTCCTCATCCTCTCGCTTCGGCCCTAGATCGGCACCAGGGGTAGCGGGGATGCGGGAAGTTGATTTCACATCGAAGCGTTCAACCATGCTGTCGATATACGCGGTTTGGGAGATTCTAAGAATCCCAGATCTACATCTCTCTCGATGGCACACCCATCAAACCATTGACACTCCTCGCAATCCTCGTCAGACCCAGCCACCAAAATGTCATCCACATAAATCACGATAATCATCACCACGACTTCGTCTACCATCTTGCGGAAAACACACGGGTCCGCCTTGCATTGCTCGAACCCGTTCTCGACTAGCGTATCAGCAGCGTGGTACCCCCACTGCCTACCGCTCTGCTTCAGACCATAAATCGCACGCTCAGCCTTAGCAATCTTATGCGACTTGTCCCCGCACCCAGCGGGGAGCTTCAGAAAAACCTCCTCGTCTAGCGTAGCGTGTGTATACGCCTGCTTCACATCCCAGTGATTGAGGTTCATGCCCTTCTCGTTCGCTACCGCAAGCATCAGCTTAATGGATGCGGATGAGGGGCAAGGGGAAGACGAATGGAAATAATCGACGTTCGGGATTTGCGAAAACCCCCTAGCAACGAGACGCGCTTTGAACTTGTCTATTTTCCCTTCCTGT